TTTTTATTTATACATTTAGTAACACATTCATTCTTTAAAATTTGGAGAAAAAGGAGAGAAGCTTCCTATCCTGAAGAAACAACTTTTGGTGTATATTCTTTTAGATTTCTGTTTCCCAGAATATGTAACTTTGTGTATGAATATAATTATTTTATACACACAAATTTGCCACTTACCTGCCAAAATGTCTCCCTACTTTAAATGACGGGAAAATTCCGTGATTTGCAGGTAAATAAATGACTTAAACGTGCCCCTGTTATTTGGGTGTATCGTTCTCGTCTGCTTTGATGCATAAGATGTTTGCACAGCATCCTGTTATTTCTGTAGGATGCTCCATAGTGGAATTACTGCTTTGTTCTCACCCCAGCTCACTCTGACCAGCCCTGCAGTCCCCGCCCCTTGCTCTTTCTAGAACATTCCAGACATGCTCCTGGAATTTCCCAGTTGTTGGTCCCTCCCCCTGGCCTGCCCTTGCCCCACATGGCCGCAAGTCTTGCTGCTTCCGTTCCTCAGACTTTCAGCTTTTCCTCAAGACTTCTCTGCTTCTCTCTATAACGCTCTGATCATCTTTTTATATTTGCGCATTATGTGTCTTCTCTCACTGCAATGTAAGCTTGCCTGGGTAAGGGTTTTTGCTGGTTTTGTTCACTTCTGCACGCCTAGTACTAGAACCGTACCTGGCATGGAGCATGCACTTAATACGTGCTTTTCAGTGATTGAATATGTGAATGAGCAAATGGCTAGTGGAGAGTAGACACCTTCTTAAAGATTTTGACACATTGCCCAATTGGCATCTGCAGCGGTTTTTTGAGTTCTGTGCCAACCAGAAATGCATAAAAGCACCTGTTTTCCAACAGACTATGCAGTTACTATTATCTTTCATTTTGCCAGTCAGGTAGATGGCAAAGATGATATTCTATTGCTAATGGTATTTTTGAAGATTGTACAATTTTTTTTTCATATTCACTCCGCATAGAAGAGCAGCTCTTACTCTCTGTGTCTAAACCACCATGATTATATGAGGTTGTCATGATTCATTTCCTGGTTCTGAGGAGAATCCTAACTTCCTGTAGGAACTGGATAAACTCAGGATTCTGTTAGCAAATGAGAAGCTGGAGGTTGGCCCTTGGGAGGTGGTCATGGTGTATCCCACATGCTGAATTAGCTCTTGATTGATTGACTAGTGCCTTATCTTTTAAAATGGAGCAAAGGTGCTACACTTTCAAATAATTTTTATTGAAATAATTTATGATCATTATTGAAAACTTGGAAAATACAAAGAGATAGAAGAAAAAAATATCCACAAGTCCCACCATCCAGATAACTATGTTGATATTTACCATTACTAAGTTTTCCTTACATTTCCTCTGGTCTTTTTCTTTGCATACTTTTATATAAATTTGATAATTCTGTACATGTTTGTGCCAGACAGTCTTTCCATCTAAACCTATAGCAATAATGTTTTCATATATATATATATATATTTTTACAGACTATGTGCAGTTTCCCCTATGATTCACATGGACCTTGGATGACTTTCCTATCCCTTCTGATTTGGGGATGTAAAGTGGTCTCCATCCCCAGAATTAGCAATAATGATGCCGTTGTATCTTAATGTAGGATACTTTTTCAGCTTTTAGGATTGTTTTTAAATTGTTGTGAAATTGTCGTCAAAGCTCGTGGACGTTTTTACTGCCAAATTGTTTTCTAAAAGGATTATCCACTTGCAGGACCAATAGTAATGTTTGCAAGTGGGGCTGTTTTGTGCCAATTAATTTGTATCACAAGGAAATGGGTCATGGACCTGTTCTCTTTTGGACCTGTAACAGTTGGAACTTCGTTCAGAATAAACACTAATAAAACTCCAGTGGCCATGGTTCAACAGTCCCCTGGGGCAGCTTGTTGCAGATTTTAATAGCCCGAGGGGTTTTGATTTCCTTTTATTTTCTTTTTGCCTCTGCTATTTTCCTCCCTCCTGGGTTTACAACATGTTTTCCTAGCCACAGTTAAGCCTCAGTACTTCTTGTTCTGTCTTTGTTGATTAATGAGTATAATTGACCCCTGTTGTCTCTATTATACAAACCAGAGCAATTTGTTTTTATGTAACAGTTATATTCTGGGCTGTCACAAAACTGCCTTACAAAGAGCGAGCTCATTATCAGCCTGAAGGAAAAGAATTTTAAGTGATGAAGTGGATAAAGGTCCCCAAGAGGAGGAGGAGAAGTCTAGGCTGTTCAAATGTTCAAGGAAATGAAGAGCTCTGGGGGCAAAATCATCCATTGTTGCGTAGGTACCCAGCAAGACTTGGTTATATCTTAAAATTATTAGATTAAAAATGGCTCCCCATAGAGAGAGTCTGGAAGACTGGATATAGAAGGGTTGAATGTAGGTCTAAGAAACCATAGAGCATAATATTTGATGGAGTGGGTTGAAGCCCCTGGGAAGTTCATGGTTATAAACGTGATTATAGAAAGCCCAGCTAAATGCCTCTGTAGGGGGAGTAGAGGTGACTTCTATGTTAGAAAGTTTTATCTGACCATAAAGAATACCCAGATTTCCATGGTATATCAGAAAATGGCTTGTTATTCATCTATATTTTTTTTCCTATTTCCCCTCTTCCCCCATGATCTTGGTGAAATTTTTGTCAGCTCACGAAAGTAACTAAGCAGCAGAGGTCCAGGGAAGAGACATCGAAACGGAATGAGATCTTGGCCTTAGCGAAGTCAGTCTGCCACAACCCTGAACAAATGGGGTCCTTCTGTTGCAGGATTCATCTTCAGCTGTTCCATGGAGAGCTTTTAGGAATTACCTTGTTTCATAATCTTTTTTTTATCTACTCTGCCACACTTTTTTCATAGGAGAAGAGGAAGGAATTAACCACAGAAGGAAGGGGAAAAAATCCTAAGTAGCCACAGTAAAATAATGAATAATGGTGACTGAATTACGAAATGCAACAGCTAGAGGTGCCTTAAAGATCTTCCCTTTGTTTTGTGAATAAGGGAAGTCAAGCACAGAAGATTCCATTTGCTTTTGCCTTGTTTCACCCAGTTCCTGGTAGAGCTGGCTCTAAAATCCCAGATGTCCTCCTCTTATACGTCGCGTAGATTCTCAGCATTTTGAGCTTTTTGGCAAATTCTTCTGTTCTTACACATTAATGTAAAGATTTGATCCAAAACAGCTCCAGAGAAACCATTCTCAAAGTGGAGGTTTTATTAATTGTAAAGAAACTTGCATTATCTTGTCTAAAACATGTTTTGTTTATAAGTGTTCAGAAAAAAAGTTGGTTTGGTCCCTTCCAGAAACCTCTGTTGAGGGGGTCCCTTCTAGAAACCCCTACCAGAAATCTCCATCTGGCTCTGGAGAGAGGGCTTTGGGGGCAAGGGCAGGTGGAAAAACTTTCAGAATCTCTTTGAAACTCTCTAGAAAGAGGACAGCATCTCAAAACTATAAGACTTTTTGTCTCCTTGTTGGAAAGAAATGAGTTGTCGTCAGCCTTTATAGAATGACAGGCATGTCTTAGGAAGAAAGGGGGGTACTTCTGCCACTGATGGTCAGCAGGGGATGGGAGGGCCAAGGGTCAGGCCCTGGGCCAGAGAAGGACAGGTGCCTTCTTGGTTAACCCCATTCCCATCTTCTGAAGAAACTGGGTAAATTGAGCTTCTTTAATGAAAAGAAAATACTACCTTGTACTTGGGAGTACAAATGGAGGTAGGAGGCAACTGGTGTCTTGACTTTCTTCAAGGAAGAATTTCTGGAGTCTCTCTGCAGCTGTGGGATTTAGTAACTACAAGTCCCCATGTTAAGTGAATTTGCAGCTGTAGGATTTACGATGATATGGGGAAGAGAAAATGGGGACTTGGCTCAAAAACATACTTAAGAACTCCCTTGTGGATTTATTTTCCATTAAACCCATCAAGAGAGAACACTCAAGTGAAGGTTATGGTGACATTTTACAGTTTCCGCTTATCCCAATTGGTACTACACTCTTCGCTTTCATTGCTATCCTTTGTTCACGGGAAATGCAAATGACACTCATAGGAAGAGGTGTTGTGCTATCCAGGTTAAACCGTATACCCAGTGCTGTGCTTCTTTTATGATTTGGAACCGTTTTCTCTTCCCACGACCTTCCCAAGACCTTCTCCCATGTCTTGTCATGGTGATGACCTTCCCAAGACCTTCTCCCGTGTCTTGTCATGGTGGTCATGACGGATATACTCTTAATTGTGCCCTTCCTGCCACGTGAAATGAATAAAGAAGGGAAAAAAAAACACTGTGGTAAGATCTGTATTGCATTAAGTTTAGTATGTAGGAATAAATGTTTCTCGAACCCCTCCCTCCGTGTCTCTGATGTGTCCCCAGAGCCTCACCCCGAGAGGCCCGTCTTTGCCGATTTCTCGATTTCCTTCCTCCTCCGCGGTGTGATCCTAAAGCAGGACTGCTGTTGCCCCTTGTGCCTTTCGAGGCTTTCTCCGGAAAGCCTCAACTCCTCGTTCTTATTTGTTCTACCTTCTGTTACTCTTTAAAAAACCATCCCCCGGGTGGTGTTTTCCAATAAAGTCTCATGGTTTCCACGAAGATATTGAGAAGAAAGTTCACGTGAGCTCAGGATTTACGTGGAGGGAGGTATTCCTGTATATTTCTGCAAATGCATTGTGCGGTTGTGTGGTGTATAATATCCTGTCTCGCTTGTTCTCCTCCAAAGCAGATCTGTCCCCCCTCCCCCGGCATGTGCTGATGTGGGTAAATTCTACCCTTTACTTAGTTTCAGGCCCCACATTTGATAATGATGGGGGTATACCTTATCAGAATTTAGTACTTTACATTTTCCCACATGCTCCTTAGGAAATCTGACATGCTGGCCGGAATAGGAGAGGACTTCACCATTTGGGGCCCTATTCTTGGACCGCTTATTATTTTAATCAGTGACACACTCTAAAGCTATTCATTTGTTCTGAGCTTTAGCCTGATGAACGCTGTTTGTCTTGTTTCATCCTGTACAGGTTACTCTGGCCAGGACTTCGACTGGGCAGATTATCACAAGCAGCATGGGACAGAGGAAGCACCTCCCTTCTGCTTCAGAAATGTAAGCAGCTTGGTTCTTGCGACTCCTTTTATCCTAGATCGTTCACCGTAATTTTTGTAAGTTGCTTTCTATTCCTGAGCAAGATTAGAGTGCTGCTGTGTACCACAGGATCGTAAAGCTTTTGTAGTTTTGAAAAAGTCCTCTTTCAGGTTGTGTATCAGTGTGACTCTGGGCCGTAGTAACAGATCCACCACTAAATGTATGGTGGTTCTGGATAAGGTCAGTCAGTTCTCACTTACGGAAGGGTCCAGTCTGTTCCTGATGAGTGCATGCCTCCGGTGAGCCTTTGGCTTCATCATCTGAATCTAGTGAGCAGGTAAGGAAAGGGGTGAAGGAGAAGCTAATCTTACTTCTAAACACTGTAGCTGATATTGACATGTTACTCCATTCACCTTCCATTGGTGAGAACCAGTCCTTCGGCCACACCTGCCATGAATGAGGCTAGGAAATGTGCCGTGGCCGACTGGCTTTTTGCAGCCAAGAGTCCATACTAAGTCAGCCAGGAGTCCATACTATAGAGAAAGGAGGACACGTTACATATGCACTTGCTGTGTGAAGTATACTGTTGATAAACCCATTGATAGGAGATTCTCTGCTCTTGAGGTATATTCTCAATATATGATCATCAACTTATTTTCCTGGATTCCTTCAATAAGATGCTAGTCCAGCAGTTCTCTGCTTTGCTTACTTTAAGCCACTTCCTGGTTCAAATAGAGCTGTTGGCCTGATGGCACGTAAAATAGCACTGTTGTGAGTCTGTGTGTGTGTGTGTGTGTGTTCACACACGTGTACTTGTTTAGTTATAGGAGTTGGTTGTATAAAGTAGCTTATAAATTATTCATTGAAACCTTATCAACTCTAGGAACTATGAAAAGGGATCTGGATTATTATTTCTGTTTTGAGAATGAGGCGTAAATATATAGCCTCCTGTGTTAAACATGCATTTAGTTATGAAAGTTAATTCTTTATGCTAAAAAAAAAAGACTCAGTCCTCCAATCGGGGACTGCAAGTAGTACAGTGCGGACAGCCCCCAAATCAGAGACTTTTTCTGGACATGTGCTCCTAGAGCTGCTGATTCCTTGACTCCCCCCTTTTAATTTGTACTACGGGGCTAACAGCAGACGAGAACTAAGAGGGAGACGGGTTGGCTTCATAGAGAAGCTCAATAGTGAGCATAAGTCAGAGGTGGATTTTGAAGAATGAAGTAGGTTGATCAGCGGGCCAGCTTGTACTTAACATATGTGGAAACACATCAGCGGCAGAGTTGGAAAGCAGGGCTCCTGAAATGACCAAAGGGACTTTCTCCTGGCTGACACTGCATTTGCACAAAGGTGGTTTTTCTGCAGCGTGGAAAGATCTGTGTGGTGAGTTGAGGTGGTAGCACGGGGACACTGGGGAGGCATGCCACCATGAGGATAGCCGCGGGTCAGCTCCTGGGGCTTATCAAGTCCCAGTGCATCTCACTAGACTTTTTACCATAGTGACATCACTTGTCACAGAGTCCTGGGCTCGTTGCCTTTCACTTAGGATCGTGGAAATACTTATCAAAACATCCCCAAACCCCTCTGGAATTGTGCTTTCTACCTGACAAAAGAAATATTCCTTCCCTGCCTCTCCAGCCTTGGGAGGGAGGAGAATCCTGACGTGTCCCCTAGTTTTGGAGGTGGGGAGTTGTTTCTTCTCTGACAACACAGTTCCACCACAGCTGCTTTCCATCAGTCCGTCTTCTGCTCCCGTTCCGTCAGCAGCTGGCTATGTGCAATTTAATTGTGGAGCAAGCAGCCACATCCCCAGGTGGCCTCTGAGCTTTCAGGATTTAGCTACCAAGATGAAATCTCTTTTAATGAATATGCTGGCATATTCATTAGGAATGCACTTGTTACAAATATGGCCCGCTTTGTTTCTGGCCCTCCGTTTATTTAATCGACAGGATTGTTATCTGCCTGTAGGCGTGTGCATTGCATTACCGGTGCTTTGCTGAATTTTGTTAGCTCGCTACAAGTGCTCTTTAATGGAATGCTTATTATGAATTCATTTTTTTAATCACACATCTTGTGTGTACTAGAGGAGGGGTGGTGTGGAAGTGGGTTTCCCGGGGGATGTTTAACAATCAGAGGCAGTGCTGAAATGGATTGACACAGCCAAATGCTTAGTAAAATAAACTCACAGGTAACAGTTTTGCTATTGATCTTTATAAATTACCCTCAAGCAGTGAGTTGAAACGAAAATACGTTATGCGGTTGTAGCTTTCCCTTATTAAGTAGGATAAAATGCATTTTGACTTACTTAGAGGCTTTTCAGGCAGCCTATCGAGTCATATTATCAAAAAGGAGCTCAATACATAATATGTGTGGATGAGGCAGGATGACTTGCAGAAAAATAACCCACCTAGAATTTCTGTGTTTACTATTTCCAAAGAACCATAAAGGAAAAGTGCAAATTGCTTTCTCAACATACGCTGGATAATTTTGTTCTGGTTAGATAAAGGTGTAATTGCATTTGCAACTTAACCTGTATAAAAAGAGATGTGAATGTGAATAACCTTGGTGTCTTCCCATGGGTCACATAAGGATGTAATCTCTGTTATTTACAGGAACCTGTTAATCTCAGTTTGTTTATTTCAAAATAGATATATTATAGTAATGTAATGTCTGGTTGAAATTTATAGTAGTGGATGATTTTGGAAAATCTTATATTTATTTAAAAATAATGCTAGGAGGGAGTTTTGCTTTGAGTATTGGCTGAGCTCACGCTGAATTGATCCTCTGGCAGATAGCAACTATAGACTCTGGACAGGATACCAGAACAACTACCTTGGGTGTGTGGAGAATGAACAGAAGTGAGCAGATCTGGAGGGGAGCAGATGCTTGGAAGGAACATTATGGGGTGATTGTGTGATTTTTTTTTCAGACTTTTTTTGACAGTTGACAACGTATGAGATGACAAAACCAGTAATATAAAAATTACAGTCTTTCTGGCCTGATGAACCAGATAACGGAATTTGGGCAACTGCAATTGTTGGAAAGTGAGAAGTCTCAGATGGGGAAGAGCCAGGCGAGGGAGGCACAGATTCTGTGTATAAACTCTGCTTAAATTTTTGGCTGATCCTTGGATTGTGTATTTTCCAGGCAAACTTCCAGGCAGCCTAGTTAAGGACGGAAGACTGAGCTGAGGTTTGAGCTCCTTCTCAGGAGACAGAGTGTGTAGTTTGAGTCCAGACAAGTTAATTGCTTGCTTAAAACAGAAAACCACACTCTTGGGAAGAACATAACACAATCCAGAGTCTCTACCACATAACATTTTAAACATCCAGACTTCAGAGTTGCTTAGCCCATGAAGAAATGTGAAAATTCTCAGTAGAAAAGATAATCAACAGAGACCAAACCCAACATGACCCAGATGTTGGAATTAGAAGGCACGTATTTTAAAGCTCCCATTAAAACTAAGCTCAGTGCAAAGCAGTGATTCCCAAAGTGCGGTCCTTAGGCCAGCAGCTCCAGCATCACCTGGGAACTTGTTGGAAATACAAATTCTGTGGCCTTACCTCAAATCAAATGAATCACAGACTTTGGGGTAGGGCACAGCAGTCCGTTTTAAAAAGGTTCTCCAGGTGATTCAGATGTACCCTAACATTTGAGAAGGAAAATATGAATGAGAAGGTAGGAAGTGCCAGAAGAGAAGTAGAAGGTGTAAAAAAGAGAAATTCTAGGACTGAAAAATAAAATACCTAAAATAAGCAAATTCATTGGAAGGGCTTCCTAGCAGAATGGAAGTGACAGGGGAAGGAGTTGATGATTTTGATCCTATCTGAAGAACCGAGAGAAAAAGAAGCTTGGGTGTGGGGAACAAGAACAGAATCTCAGGGACCTGAGGGATGATATCATGTGTAGTTGGAGACCCAGAAGAAATGGCCACAGAGACTGTGGAAGAAAAAATATATGAAGAAACAATGCCCAAAAGTTACCAGAGTAGCTGGAAGTACTAAATGCACAGGTTCAGGAATCTCTGTGGGCCCCAAGTTTGTATAAATACGAAGAAGCCCAACCTAGTCAAACTGCTGATAACCAGACATAAAGAGAAAAATGTTGAAAGCATCCAGAGAGAAAATGACAGATCCCAAATAGAGGAACAACAGTTTGAATGACAGTGAACTTCACATCATAGACAGGGACACCAGAAGACAGCAAACCAGTGTTTTTAGAGTACTGAAAGAAATAAACCACCAAAGCTAATGCTTCCTGAGTGAAGAAACAGACACTTCACCATGGAAGATAGACAAATGACAAAGAAACGTGTGAAAAAATGCTCAACATCATTAGCAGTAGGGAAGATGCAAGTTAAAGCTGTGATTAGCGAACATGGGACACCTATTAGGATATTAAAATTGGAAAACATGGCAATACCAAGTGCTGGTGAGGATGGTTAGCCACTGGAATGATGCACGCTGCTGATGGAAATGCAACATGATATATGGAGACTAATTTGGTGGTTTCCTAGGAAGTTAAACATACATTTACCGTGTGGTCCAGCAATTCCATATTTAGAGAAATGAAAGCTGCGTTATAGGCTGCATTGTATTCCCCCCAAATTCATACAATGAAAGTCCTAGCCCATAGTACCTCACAATGTGACTGTATTTGGAGTTAGAGTTTTTGAAGAGATAATTAAGATAAGGTGAGGCCATATGGGTAGGCCTTAATCCAGTATGATTGGTGTCCATATGAGACATGGTAATTAGGACACAGACTGTGTACATGGAGGAAAGACTGGAGACAGAAAAGGTGGCTGTCTCAAGCCAAGGAGAGCGTCCTCAGAAAAAACCAACCCCGCTGACGCCTTGATCTCAGACTTCCAGCCTCTGGAACAGCGAGACAAATTTTTGTTGTTAAAGCCACCCAGTGTGTGTTACTTTGTTATGGCATTCCAAGCAGACTGATAGACTCTGTTCACACAAAAACTTGTGCTTGAATGCTTATAGCAGCTTTATTCACAATCACCAGAAATGAGACACAGCTCGAATGTCCTTCAACTGGTAAGTGGACGGACTGTGGCACAGCTGTAGAAACTACTCAGCAGTAAAATAGAACGAACTACCCGTTTGTGCAGTAGCATGGATGAATCCCAAATGCATTTTGCTTCAGTGGAAGAAGCAAGACTGCACAGTGTATGGATCCGTTGATGTGATCTCATGGAAAAAGGCAAAACTCTAGGAACAGAAGACAGGTTCATGGTCCTGAAATTGGGAGTCTGGGAGGGATTGATCATCAAAGATCCAGTGCAAAGGTGTTTTGGAGGTGAAGGGACTGCTCTGCGTGCTGATTGAGGTTATGGCCGCAAGACTATATGCGTTTTCTCTAACAGCCGACCTTCAGGGAACAGGGCAGCAAAAAGAATGAATGTTCCTATGTGTAAATTTTTAAAAAAGTGAATTGAGAAAGTAAATAAAAGCCAAAAACCACAAATGTAAAATAAAGACAATTTCAGGTGAAACTATGGGAATTCGCCACCAGCAGACCTGCACTAGAAACGGCGCTAAAGAATGTTTTTCAGGCCGAAGGAAATGATGCCAGATGGAGACTCAGGCCGACTCCTCACACCCATGGATATGCCCAGGCGCGCTGTGAGTGAGGAATATAGGGAAGGAAGAAGACATGATGTGCACCTCTGTGACCGTGTGGAAGTCAGGGCGCATGCAGGACTGGCAAGAGAATGTATCCTCTCCTTCAACAGATAGTAGTAGGCATCTGCTGTGTACCAGCAGAGCTGTAATTCTGGGATGCAAGGGAGGTCATGGTTCTTTTCCGATGAATGGTGGGAAAGCCCGTTGGTCTGATGGATGAGCTCTCTGTGCCGGTGCGCGCGTGCCCGGGCATCCCCGCTTCGCCCGCGGGCCACTCTGTTGCTGCACCTGCTGCATTGTCCTCTGGCTCAGTGTCCGTTCTGTCTCTCTTTCAGACATCATTCAGTCGGGGTTTCACAAAGAACATGAAGCTTGAAGCCGTCAACCCCAGGAACCCAGGAGAGCTCTGCATGGCCTCTGTTGTCAGTGTGAAGGGGAGGCTGATGTGGCTTCACCTGGAAGGTACGCTGAGTTCACAGCCGTCCTGGAGAGCTTACGGTCCGTCTGGAAATGGCAGGGTACACGTGGTGCTTCTCCAAAATAACCCCTTCCGCTTTCTTTTCATTTAAACAGATCTTAAATTATTCAGTGTTCTTAAATAAGCGAAACTAATCAAATACAAATTTGTTCTGAGGCTCTCATCTTAACTAATAATTTCATGAAATGAGATACTGGTGTGATAATTATGTTTGGAACACAGTGGTCTTTTTACATCTATGATTATAAAAGCTAATGTCACAATTAAATTAATACGAGTCACTAAAACTGGTATTTGAGGTCTTGGTTATTATGAGGATAAAATTATATATTTGCATTTTAATGTGAATAATACCCTTTACTTTGGTTTCTTCTGTAGATGTTTAATTTTACCTTGAAATAGTCACTGGAGATGACTTTCTTCCCAAATATATATATTATACACAAGATTTGTTTGTTTAATGATGTTTAAACTCTCCTTTATAGCTCCTTTTTTTTTATAATTGTGCAGATAATTCAGAGAACATTATCCTTTATAAGCGGAACCATGATGAGATTTTACACTGAGATAGAACACTGTATTTTTATATGTTATATTTTCAAGTGAGAAAGAATTAAGTCTGATTTGTAAGATTTTCCCATTTTTCCGTGATCTAAATTTTTTGGGTTTATTTGTTTTTTTATTTTCATGACATTCATTAATTATTTTAAATGTATATGAAAAAACAAGACTAGTTATAAGTAATAAAGTTAGCTCTCTTGGCCCATATTTTAGCCATCTTGGCATGCTCCTACCACCATTGGAACGGAAAGTTTGCAAGGTCATAGAAGTGGTGCTAATCTCATCATTCTGTCTCTTTAGTAAGCAAGTGTAAGAAGCATCAAAAGTTCTTTTTTTGTTGTTGTTATATTAGTCACCATACAGTACTGAGCTGGTAATCTCGATCTCATAAATCTTGTAGTCCAAATGAGTGGGAAGGGTAGAGAACAGTGATTGTAGGTGAACATCATCTGTGTCATTAATTCCTAGAAAACTAGTTGAAAACATTACTGTGGTTTAGGATTTCAAAATCAATCAATTTCAAAATAAAAGGAAATTCATCAAAAGTTGATTGGGGCATTTTCAAGTTAAATGGCCTCCAGCGGGAATTAGCCAAAAAGTAGACACAGGCATGATGGTGATATTTCTGCGGCCACGGGAATAGAACCATGACCTTATTTTCACTACTACATGTGACGTTGAATCAACTGCTCTTGGAAACACAAGATCCCTCCTGTGATTTCGAATCCCTACGTTAAACCTGCTGCCTAATACTGTGCTAAGCCGTGTTGCAAGATCGGGGTCTTGCTTGGCGTTACTAATTTGAAAACAAAAATGGTAGAGTTCAAAGCCCATGTTTCATCATTATGATTTAGCCCATTACCATTAAAGTTCTTTGGCAGTCATTATTTATTTAGCAGTTTGTACTTCCAGAGTGCTTTACCGCTGTTAATTACCTAACACAGACAACAGTAAGAGCATCCTGATTTTTATAGATGGAGAAACGAAGCTAGCTAAGCTGTGAAGGTATGCCTAAGGTCAGTTTCCTTGTCCTCGACATCTTTGTTGGTTAACTCATCAGACCCCACAGCTTTCCAATTCTTAAAAAGAATGAGAAGCAGCAACATTTAGCATATATTGAACATTTTTAGTGTATATTAACATTATAGAAATACTCTAGATGTAAGGCAGCTCACATCAGCTCTTATTCTCCAGAGTGCTTTCTTACCCTGTAGCAGTGAAATCAGCATTAGAGAGCAGATCAGAAAATAGATTGTCCATTTTTTTCCAGACCTGATGCACTAAAAAAAAAAAAAAAAAATTTTTTTTTGATAAACAGTTTGTTGCGTATTATCTACCTGGAATCCATGGTCAAAATCGTGTGTTTGATCAAAAAAGTAAAATCCCATTTTGTTTCTTTGTTCTTATTTGAATTTTGGGGGTTTTGGGTTTTGTTCTGTTTGGGGCCTTCCTGAGTATTACTTTTCAAGTCACAATGAGCTTAGTGGCAGTTATTTCTCATTGTTTCACGGTTTTATGTATATAGTGTTTTCTGTCCTCCATCCTGGGAATAAATGCTGGAGATGTGCCATGGTCACTTTGTGGCTGTTAAATTATTTATATGATGATGGTGATTCTGATTATAGACCATTTATTTACTTGACACTGTAAATGTAGAAAGTACTTCATAACAATTTATTAGTTATTTTTATGCATTAAATTGATTTGAAGTATTTTTCAGCACATGGCTAATTGACCACTTTTAGGTAATTAAAATGATCATTTTTAATCTACTAGTTGACTTCTCTTGAAATCAGTTAAGTGTCTGTAAAAGAGCTGATGTCGAAGACTGGGCAGTGAACGAAATATATGCGATTGAGGTGGTATTATTTTAGACGCATATTTGAGAAGAATTGCAGGCTCCCGCAGACCGCTGATGGTTAGCAAGTGCAATTTATGATGATGGGATTTTTGTGTTTTAGAGGGGACATTGTAATGCTTTCTCTCTTGTGTTAATACTCTGCTCGAGGTGATAATATCTACAGTTATAAGCATTAGCCATGTAGTGTGAGTTGCTCTCCGTGGTGATGCCTCCAACATTGCAGCTCTGTGCTCATGCGTCTTCAGCCCCACACGCCACGTCACTTTACGTGCCTTCCAGATCATTGTCTCCCGGGATAGGGTGTGGGTCTTCCACCCGTCCTCAGGGTGCCCCACGCCCTTCCACCTGTCCTCCCCATGCTTCCGTTCGCTTCCTAAGAGGGCTTACATCTTTGCCTTCCTTGGCTTCTCTTACCCCATTATTATTAATATTTTCCTCCTGTTCAGAAGAGATGTGATACGCTCCATACTCCTGAATATATTACTTTTAGTTTTTTGGCTGAGGCAGAAATTTCTTTTATGCCATAAAAGGGACGGCGACCAGCAGGCTTCATTTCTGCAAAGTTATTTAACTCTTTTAAGGGATGCCACTGCAGAAATTTTTGAAGAGAGCTCTGGAAGGGGACACCAAAACCCGGTTTTGCCATTGGGAGTGCTGTTACACGTGGAAACGGGCCGGGGACTCTAGGCTGGCGTTCTTGTGCTTTGAGTGTAGGGAGGGAATGAGGCCCTGTAGGAGTTCTTACCCACTGCTTTCAGTTCTGTATGTTCTAAAAACAAACATGCAGAGGACCAAAAAACAAAGATGACCCAGAATCTTCAGGTCTGTGGAGAAGTATCAGAATCTTTTTTAAAAGATTTATTCATTTATTTATTTGAGAGTGGGAGGGAAAGAGAAAATGAGCAGGAGGGGCAGAGGGAGAGAGAGAATCCCAAGCAGACACCCCTCTGAGTGGGGAGCCCATCACGGGGCTTGATCTCACGACCTGAGCTGAAACCAAGAGTCAGCTGCTTAACCGATTGCACCACCCAGGCCCCCCGAGAAGTATCGAAATCTTAAGAACAGAGAGCTCTAGTCAAACCCAAATTAGGCTGTACCAGCATCTCCTGATCCTTATTTTTTGCTGCTCTCTGAAATGAAATCCAGAGAAAATAAAATCTTTCCACACTCAGTCCTGGAGAAACATATATGTCAGTGTCAGTCTGTGAGTCTGTGCCATGTATAGCTTTGGGCAGTAGCTTTCTAGAGTTCAGCAAGCCCCTCCTGTCACTGCGAGCTTCACATCCCACATCGACAAGCACGTTACGTGCAGGGCTCCCTGATTTCCGCCGACGAGAGCTGTCAGGAACAGCCTGCGACTCTCGAAGTCTGAACCTCATGTAGAATTTCAGCGGAGGAATTTAAACACAAGATGCAGCGACATTTCAAGGATGAGTGTGAGCTCTCCTTCTCCCTTCTTGAGAAATGCATGCGCTTTGGAACGGCCCAGTGACATTTCCTGATTTATCTGATTTTCTCTTGGCTCCTTACCTGTGGCGAGGTCAGCCTGCCTCTGCTGTTTTCCTGTCTTCCATTTGCTCTAAGTGTTAGGCCAGTGTCCTGAGCCAGGGCACCTGGGTTGTTAGGAGTGACAACCGGAAGGTGCAGACCCTTCATGTCGGGCGCGTGGACTTCCGCATGAGCCTGTTTGCTACTTTTGTGGTTTCCCTGTCCCGGTGCTTCTTATCACTTTTGTGGTTTCTCTGCTTCCTGTTTTCTAGAGAGTAAACCCCCAGCTGCCTGCCTGGGGGGAGGCATCACCTGGCTGTGCACAATCAGCGAGGGGTTAGTGGTGGAAATGCTTCTTAGGGAGACTTGGGATCATCCGCCTCTCCTCCATTCCAGCCCAGCATCCTTTGCCTCTCAAAGGCTCCTAGTCTGTCTGCCCCGTGTCGGCATAGGGCCTAGAGGCTGTATTGGCTTGCTTCTTGCCTCCCTTGTCCTCTCACGTTGTAGAGATCTAAGGAATGAGCGTGTGAGCAAAACCGTGAATGAATGAGATAACATGCTAAGTAAGGTTAATGAGGTTTCTCGCTTGAGCCCCTGCATGGCAAAATTGATTCCATGAGGCATAGGGATGAGGGCCCAAACCAGGTGGGCATGAAGACTTATTTCATGGAGGGCTTAGGTTGTTCCTGTACCAGATTCCTGGAAAATTCAGTCTGTTTTGGACCAAGTGATCTTACTAGAACTGAGAATGTGCTGACCATTCCTAGAATGGTCCCAGTTCCACAACAAAGTTTTACGTTTGTGATGAGACAGGCCCCTTTGAGATTCTGATGAAGGTGTCCGACATTCAGGAAAATGCACTTGCACACGTATGCAAATTTTGATGCAACTTCAGACCATCCATGGACCCTCTCAAAGCCATTCTTGGATGGGCCTCCTTGGAATTCATGGGCCCCAGATTGGAACCCCTGCAGGAGACATTCTCAGGACATATTAATGTTAGTTCTGTTTTGTCCATGGTGTGGCTTCTAGCCATGGGTGGCTTCTTTGTTTTAAGTTAAATTAAAATTTCAG